TCCTGTGTGGAGTGACCCTATGGTGTCTGAATTTCTGCCTCTTTGCCTCAGGACACAATTACCCTCCACTCTCCACTGACAACCAGATGTTTGCACAGTTTTTCCTTTTCCTCCCTAAGCTCCACTCTGTGACACAAGTTCTCAGCACTGAATGTCTTACTGACCCGACACAGGCACCAGCTTCTCCTCAGACCACAGGAGAACCTTTCCTAATCACAGGATTCTCAAAGAGAACCACACAGTGCAGGGGCTGCCTTCTCACACACCCACGGGATCATGGAATCATCGATTGATTTTTGTTGGCAGAGACCATTAAAGGCCATCCAATCCAACCCTCCTGCCATGGGCAGGGATATCTGTTACTCCATCACATTACTCCAAGTTCGATCGAACCTGACCTTGAAACACTTCCCCAGATGGGACACCCCATCATTCTCCGGGCAACCTTTTCCAGTGTCTCATCACACTCATCTTCAGTAATTTCTTCCTTATTTCTACCCTATTTCAGTGGAAAACTGTTGTTCCTTTCGCAATCACTGCAGGCCTTGAGAAAACGTCTTTCTCTGACTTCATTATACATCCCCTTTACGTACTCAAAGGCTGCAATAAGATCTCCCCAGAGCAGCTCTTTCTCCTGCCTGAAGAACCTCGACTGCCTCGGCCTTTTTCCACAGAAGGTGTGATGTATCCATCTGATCATGTTTGCAGCCCTTCTCTGGAGCTGCTCTAACGGGTCCATGTTTGTTTTGACCTGAGGACTCCAGACTGGACACAAAGCTGCAGGGGAGGTCAAACAAGAGCAGATAAGAAGCCAAGATTCCCCTCCCTTGACATGCTGGCCATGTTTGTGTTGGTGCAGCCTAGGACATGATTGAATTTCTGGCCTGAAAGTGCACATTGCTGGCTCATGTCCAATTTTTAAATCTCCAGTATCCCATGTCTCTTTTAAAGGTCCGCTCTCAGTCCTTTGTTCTCCCAGACTGTTCTGATACTGTGGATTTCCTCAGTGCAATTTTCCTGGGAAAATTTCTGGAGAGGAAGAGGCAGGGAGAAGCGCAGAGGAAGGAGAGATGAAGGGGGTGTGGGCTGAGTGTCTCCAAGGGCTTTCCAGGAGCTCTCCAGAGCAGGGCAGTGACAGCAGCACAGGCTGCAGGGAAGTTTGCACATGATGAAGAGGAGATGCTGCACTGCTGCAGGACACAGCTGGGCGTGATGACATATGTCCATCCAGAGGCCAGATGGGAAGTTGGCTGTGTCGTAGCCAACCCTGTCACATCATTCCGTCTCTGAAAAGCTGGGCCCAGAGAAGGTGCTTTTGTGGTAACATCATCAAAACAGGCACAACTCCCAGAGCTGTCCCTGGACACAAAGACTGTCACCAACATCCTGGGCTTTCCGAGTAGGACCACAGCCAGGACACTGATGGCAGCAAAGATCCCCCTCTGCTCAGCACTGCCCAGATGGCACCTGGCATGTTGTGCTGCCTGTTGGAGGGGAGTGCAAGGAAAAGCTCAACCAAGAGAAGCCAAATATATGAAATACACTGGCCAGCATGGTGAGTGGGCTGGAACACTTTCCTGGGGATGAGAGGCTGAGGACACGGGGTTTGCTGAGAAGAGAGAAGAGAATGCTTTGATGGGATAACTAAAATAATTTGTGGAGTAGCTGTGGTCATTGCACAGTGTCAGGTAATTCTTCCGGGTACAGAGAGGCAGAGAAATTCAGAAAGGTGACCCCAAATATGACTAATCAGTGCTGTGTTAACATAATCAATGCTATGCTGACAACCATGGCAATACCATCCCTAACGACCCCCTCCCAGAACCCCACAGCAACACCTCTCTCCCTGGCCATGTTGGATGAGGATCTGCAGGGGAAAGGACGACACAGAGGCGTGGGCTGGGATGCAGGAGAACTTTAATGAGTCCAAAGATTAGAAAGAAGTCACTCTGAGTGGAGATCTCAGTGAAGAGAGCACTGATGCTCTATCCCTGGGCTTGTACCATCCTGTGTGTCCCTGGGTTCCTTGCAGGGCCA